ATGCTCCTCTTTGAACGAGTACTGCTTGGGCGCTCTTTGTTGATTTGGCGCCTTGCCTTGCTTATTCGGCGGTGGTACTCGTGTGTAGTCGGCTGCCAAAGTCTCCTTTCCCTTAGACCGCTGTGCATTTTGCTGATTGCGTTGCTGCTGCGGCTTGGGTTGTGGTACTTCTTCAGCTTTGACACGCGCCACTATCTCCTCAGCTTGTTCTCCTTGTGAAACTAGTTGTCTCCAGGAGCGACATTCTGCCACCCCCATTTGAGCAAGGAGCTAGGTCTGCAGGTTGTGTCTGCAAGTTTCAACCAAAGTTGACTGTGTCATACCTGAGGGGCATCGTAATGCCACACTGCGGAATCTTTCCACATAGGCCTTGATAGACTCTCCTTTCTTTTGCTTAGTGGCAAGAAGAGTTGGGACTGAGACCTCTGTATCGTCCTCAAAGAACCTGACCAAGAATAGCCTTTCCAGGTCTACCCATTTCTGGATAGATCCGGCAGGCAATTTCATGAACCACTCGAAAGCGACACCTTTAAGGGTACCGATGAATAGCCTGGTCAGGATGGCGTCGTTTGCTACCACATCCCCAGTTTGGGACTTGAAATAGTAAATGTGCTGATTCGGCGATCTTGTACCATCGAACGGTTGCAAGGTAGGAGCCTTAAACTTCGGTGGGTAGGGAGTTGTATCCTACTCAGCAAGGTAAGGCCGCACTACCCCTTCTTCACGGAGTTCACTTCTGTTGGCGATTGCGTTAAGGCGAGCCTCCAGCTCATCCACCTTGGTAGATTGAGGGTGCAGTTCTTTTCTCATCTCTTATTCTCTGCCTCAGAAGAGGATTCCGCAGGTTGAGTCTCCACGATCTGAATGTTCTCCACTTTTTCGTTTTCCCTTCGAAAGTGTTCCCGGGAAGACTCGAGGTTTGTGGGCCTTTTTCAGCAAGAAGCTGATACAAACATATCTTTTAGCTGGAGAAGTGTCATCTGCTGGGTGGCCTGGACATGACATGATGTTCGTCGCACTCTTTTTGGCTATGTTCATGGTTCCCTGTCGTGTAAGCGTAAGACCTCCCTTGCTTCCGTACAGAGCTTGAAGATTGAGATTCGGCTATTGCCCGAACTGTCTCATTCAGCTTGTTGCAATGCCTTGCTAACCTTTTGAAGTTGAACCGGACGAATCGCGTCCTGTCGCGGTCCGAGTATATCTGATATACTCCTTCGAACACTGGTCGCAAATGTTCTCGGACATATTGGCGGGATGACTTCTCTGCGACTCATGCGGAGTCAGTATGCGAGCTTTCGCCTCGCCGATCATATTGATAGTGAGCGCCGAGGTATTCCGCTTCATCTGTTCTTCTTTCTGTTGGCGGCGTTGTCGTTTAGCGGCCTAACGACCGTTCGTCAATCTGTCGAATACGGACTGCCAGGTGCGGAATGCACAACAAGGCATCTGACAGAAACGCCGAGATAACCTCTCACACTGACGAAGAGTGAGCTGCTTTGTGCTGTTGATTTTCCTCTCCCGACAACAATTCCGATGCAGATCAAAGGAACTTGGAGGAAACTTTCCAAACCGAGGGCTTATGGAGGTGGAGATGAACCCCGCCTGCCTTGGGTGAGTATATTGGTTCTTGTCGCAAACGTGGATTTTGAAGCCAGCCACTGACTTTTTTGAACCTGGGACCTCTGATAAGATCGCGTTCTTGAGAAGTAACGTGAAGGGTCGCAGTTGCATTTGAAAACGCTATGGCCTGAAGGCCTGGCGTTTAAATGATGACATGAATCTGAGAGCCATAGTTTTGGTTGAACGCGTCCCCTGAGGGTCGCGTTTGTTAGTGAAACAGACTCTGAGAGTCAGTTTTCGTTTGAACGCGCACGCTGAGGGTCGGTTTTAATTTGTGAAACAGACTACTGATGAGTCCATTGCTTCTTGACACGCAGCCACTTTGCAAGGTTTGTGTGCATACGCCATAGTGACGGTTGATCACGGCCATGAGGTCGCGTTTCATTTGGTGAACGACTCGTGAGAGTCATGGTTTTATTGAACGCACCCCTGAGGGTCGCGTTTTGGTTTTGGCATGCTCCCCGCTGAGGCTGCGTTTTGACTGCACAACCGCATCTCAGGTCGCGTTTGAGCGTATTAGCCTTCGAGCTCATAACGTTGGGCTCATGCCACGCAGTGAGCGTTCTTTCTTTGGGAACACTAGGCTCGGTTGGATTTTCCGAAACGCGATCTTCGCGTTGGGCCAACAATCGACTTTCTCGTAAGTGTGCTCGTCGTATGGATCTTCTCCGTCAGCGAGCGGCGTTCTTTTTGGCTTGTTTCAAAGCCTTAGCAGCAACGTCGCTGACGTTTACAAGACTCGTCTCCTCCAGAGGCCGTTTGTGGCCCGAAGCATGTCTTGCTGACGCGGATGTGGGATTTTCCGCCAACAAGGCCAGTTTGAGTTCCTGACCGAAGGAGAGGGCTTTCTTCGGCACGTCAACAACAGAATTAACCTTGTTGAAGGTCTTGCGGGTATCTTGCTTAGCCTTGGGGCTAAGTGATCCAGAGGATAATGCTTCCTCGTATTTTGCTTGATCAAACTCCACAACGAGAGTTTCTACTGTTGTTCCCATGAGGTGGACATCGGACTGCGCCACCACTTCCTCGTCGGAAAAGCTAGCCCCAGCGGAGTCGCCATCTTTTGTTTGTTGGAAAAATTGCAAAGAAGATAATAAAGAAAATTTGACTTTGATTCCTTTGATCTCTATTACAACTTGATTACAAAAGAGAGGAAAACGAATTTGGTTTTCCCCTTTGTTTAAAACTGAGTTCTTCTTGGTAGCGATGGAATGCCTCCTTCAATTGCTCGCGTCGAATTTGCTCTCCGTTGACGATCCGACTGTCTCTCTCTCGTGGGAACAATGAACTTCTGTGGAAAGTTTGGTGTTTAACTCTGAATGAGTTTTTAAGAACTCTGAACGAGTTTGAACTCTGTGAGTAGAGTTGTTGGAACCGAAAATTCGGTTAATGATCAAGCTGTCATTCTGTTGCTGACGAATCCCCTCAGATTTGATCTTCTGAGATTGATTCAAAAATCCTATCTTCAAGGATTTCGCTGCTGCCAAATCTCCAACCTGTACGGTTTTGATCTTTAGAATCCAACTTGTGTGATTCAAAAATCCAACCCCCTGCTCTGTTGGGTTCGTTGAGCTTTTATAGGGGGATAGGAGGTTGTAACTGACCCCTATATCCGCTCCTACGTGGGTGAAAACCCCTCAGAACGTGGGATAAACGGTTTTGGAACCGTTCGACTTATGTTTGAATAAGTCAAACGCCCATTCTGGCGTTCAGAACCCAAGATCAAGCTGTTTTTCTGTTGTCGAAGAATCCTCTCAGATTTGATCTTCTGAGGTTGATTCAAAAATCTTCTCTCCAAGGATTTCGTTGCTGTTGTTGCCGAATCTCCAAACCTGAGTGGTTTTGATGATAAAGAATCCAACCCTTGATCTGATTATCAAAAATCCGATCCTTTAACTCTGTCGAGTTTGTTGATATTTTATAGGGGGATAAGGGGTTGTAACTGACCCCTATATCCGCTCCTACGTGGGTGAAAACCTCTCAGAACGTGGGATAAACGGTTTTGGAACCGTTCGACTTATGTTTGAAAAGTCAAACGCCCAATCTGGTGTTCAGAACCCAACTTCGCTTCTTAGGATTGAGACGCGAGGTTGGGTGTTAGCTGAACACCATTGAACGCGAGGGTCGCTCGCGTTTTGGCTTGTTGCCTGCTTGTAAACGCGGGGGTCATTGTTGGTTGGACCCCTACGAACGCGAGGGTCGCTCACGTTTGGCCTGTGGCTTGAAGACGCGGGGGTCGCCTTCATTTCCGAAGTGGTGACGCGGGGATGACATCCGCGTCTCAGAATGAGCTATTTGACTTGTAGCTTCTTCTGTGTTGCATTGCAAGGACCGTTGTTCAGTAATCCTGGCTTTAGCTGTTGTGGAGTGTGAAAGTCGTCATATTGTAACTTTCACTGTAGATTGTGAAGACTGCTGAAATAGAATTTTCATCCGTTGTCAGAAGTGTCGTTGAATTGTAACTCCTCTCGATCTATGTGAAAAGCCCTCCATTCGCAACTTTCGTTCACCGACCCGAAAGCTATTTGATGGTAGCTTTCGTTGTAGGAGCTAGACGGGAATCAACATCCATAGTGTTTTGAAGATGAATATTTGCCCACAGCTCTCTACCAAACAACTATCTGATTGTATGTTTTGATTATCGGCGCGAAAGCTATTTGATTGTAGCTTTCGTTGTAGGAGCTAGACGGGAATCAACATCCATAGTGTCTCAAAGATGAATATTTGCCCACAGCTCTCTACCAAGCAACTCACCAACTAAGTCCACCCTTTTATTTCTGAAATCATCCCACTACTCATCAGCATCTCTAATAGTTGTTAATATAATATTAGTGTTGTTGTCGCAGCCATCAAGATCAATCATCTCAGAAGTGAGGTCGTGTTTGTGGCGATTATGGAGTTGCGGATGCAGTGATTGGGAAGTCGTCTGATTGTGACCTCCATTGTCGGAGCTTGTTTGGATAAGCTATCTATTGTGATTTTTAGACAGCCTACAGTGATTCAAAAGGATACTCTCATGCTTCAGATATTCTATGTATTAAAGAAAAATAAAATTGCAGGGTTGTGAAGGCACCACTATGTGAATGGTACCTGTCACGAGTTCAACCCAACAGTGTAAATGGTTTCTGTCACAAATTCAGCCCAATAGTGTAGAGAATACCCATTTGATCAAGAGGATGCAAGAAAAATAATAATAATAAAATTTAACGGTAGTTGTCGAGAAATACTTGTTCGGTCTTCCTTGGAACACATAACTCTTGCACCAATACAATATGGTGGAGAGAGCTCACAGACACATACAAATATAGAAACACAATCACAGAGATCCCTGCACCCATTTAACCAATAACTCACCTGAAACAGGTATACATACGGTCAACTACGTTTTAAAAGAAAGGAGTTTTTTCATTATTTAAAAAAAAATGTTACAACATGACTTTGTACCTTCAGGGATATACACTAATTCACTTGAGATTACAAGCATATATGAGATGAAGGTAGCAACACTGGCTCAGAAATCTAATGCTGACTAGGACTCAGGACTCACCTTGTCAACAAATAAGCTACTCGTCTTTCGCGGCAACAATTTCTTTGTGAAAGCGTTCCCGTCTTCTGAGTACAAAAAGCTACTCATTGGCTAATGAGTATTAAGCTGTGAAATTCCCATTCACAATTTTTCACATAATCCTTTTATTAAACATCTCATCTCCCCCCAAATCAATCAAACTAAATGGCTTGGATGCATGATATCATATTAGATTTGCCAGCAGTCTAGTCAAAACCCAGGTATATAACACAGACAGCACAGCACCAACAGGAATAGTAACAACCCACGACGCAACAATTTCACGAACAGTCTCAGCTCTGACACTGTTAAGCCCCCTAGCAAAACCTACTCCCATAACAGCACCGACGAGAGTATGAGTCGCAGAGATTGGCAGCCCGAGCTTTGATGCCCCAAGAACAACCGACGCAGCTGCAAACTCAGCAGCAAATCCTCGAGTTGGTGTCAGTTCTGTGATTTTCTTTCCAATGGTAGCTATAACCCTATAACCCCACATCATGAGCCCTGCAACAATCCCGAAACCACCCCAAGCAAGAACATCAGTTGGAATGACTATCTCAGCAGCTCCGACTGCTCCTCCTTGGAGAATGGACAAAGCTCCAGCCAATGGCCCGATAGCATTGGACACGTCATTGCCTCCATGAGCAAATGACATGAAACATGCTGAGAGAACCTGCATGTAGCCAAAGACACCATAGACAATCTCTAGCTGAGCTCCAGTGGGGCCAGCAACGTTAGATAAGAATCCTAGGTTCTGGTGATGTGGTGACTTGTTTTGTTGGGCCCCTTGTTTTTCGGCTTCAGAGGTGAGGAGGTGACCGAGCTGCTTGTGTATGATTTTGCTGACGATAAATGCACCTAGGGTTCCAAAAGCTAAGGCTTGAGCTAGTGCGATAGACAGTGTTTTGCTAAGTGGGAAAGCTGAAAAGGTTATTCCTGTAACACCCAAGAAAACTGCGATGGGAGCTGCAGCTGCTGCAGCCTGCCCTGGGTTTGGAGCACTGTAGACAAACTAAAGAAAAAACAGGCGAGGAGGAAACACAACATATCAATCATTAGATAATTGGAATTCCTAAAACTACACAAATCAATGATGCATGATGTCAGTCTTTATGTTATGTTAGGTAAGTAAAAGAAGGGTTAATTGCACATAGAACCCTTGTACTATCTCTGTTTTGTACTTACAACCCATGTAGTTTGATTGTTGCAAACGGACCCCCAGATTAAAGTTTTTCTGACTCTTTAACCATTGGTGAAACTTTGCCAGATATTGCCTGAAATTAGTGAGTTTCTCCAAGGGTAAATAGTAATAAAAAAAATGAACCACCAGGGGGTCTGTTTGCAACAACAAAACTACAGGGATAAGAAGTTCAAAATAGCGATACCACAAGGTGTCTGCAATTAAGCCTAAAAAATGTAAACATACCCTCCGTATGCATTTGTAGACGAGGAAGGAGGCTGCTGCTCCGATGACTGGAGAGATGACCCAGGAAGAAGTAACACGTGCCAAGGACCCCCAGTAGACACCACCAATTCCCCCATAAACAAGGCCAAAGCCAACCATAGCTCCTACAATACAGTGTGTAGTGGAAACAGGCCAGCCGAAAAAGGAAGCTACCTGTATAGGAAAAATAACCACTCAACTCCAATACAGAAGAGGAAGATTGCGGTTATGTCCCTTTGCCCATGTGCTTTATATGAGCTATAAGGAGAGTTATAATTATTCTGGCGGCTGCTATATCTTGTGATATATTATCTTATGAAACATGTTGGCTTGCTTTGAAAGAGAAAAGAACTGGAATTTTAATGTGGTTTCTAACCATTTAGTTGGGAAAAATGAAGAAACATGAGCAGACATTTTGGTCATAATGGGGTATGATCTATGCAAACCAGGAAATATCCTCTGTCACTGAATGGGTCTAAATCCTTAGCATATCAGTACGATTTTTCCACCTTAAATAGGTGTCGTCTGAAGTTAGTCACTTTCAGAACTAACAACAGATGAACCATTGTTAACTAAATTGCTCTCAATATTCAGAAAGATGGTGTTTTCATGTTAGTCTTGAAAGCTGCATCTAGTATGCTCCTGTAGAAGCTACTTGACTAGGGTTGTGCTGCCTGTGCATGGTTCGGTCCAAACCGAAAAAACCGACCAAACCAACCAAAAATTAGCGGTTTAGGTCGGTTTTATTTGTAGGTCGGTTTGGATCGGGTTGAAAACTTTTCAACTCGAACCGACCGAACCGACCGCATCACTTAACACTATAATTTTTAACCTGTACCCAGACCCGACCCGTTCACTAAAATCCCTCAAATTGAGATACCTAAACCCTAACTCCAAGTCTCCAAGCCCGTAGCCGCCAGCCGCACTTCCTCAAATCTGCAGTTCCGCCCAGCCGCACTTCCTCAAATCCGCAGTTCCGCACTCGGCAATCGGCAGTACTCCGCACTCTCTCACTCTCTCTCTCTGCACTCCGCAGCACACCCGCACCGGCTCAGGGGAGTCGACACTCCGTAGTCCGCACTCTAAATTGTGGCAATGATGTTTCCAAGTAAATTTCTTTGTTGTCAATGTTTGTCACAAACGAGTATTTACTGTTTATTGCATTTTAAATTGTTTCCTCCCTTTGTCATTTAACATTGTATCTGATGTTTTTGGGTGTTCCACAAGGGATCAAGATATTAGAGTGCAAAATCTTAAAGTGGGGAGTTTACTTCAGAGGGTATAAAATGCAACTTAAATTGCTTGATTGAGAGTTTCATGTCATGAGATTGGAAGGAGAGTTATGTTGAGCTGTTTGTGTTTGAAATTTGATTACTGAATAAGTTTCTACTACAATATCAATCTGTGAAGTCCATGGCCATGAATTTCCCTTCAAGTCAAAATGTTCAAGGTTGTTTCCTTGCAAGTGATGCTAATCACAGACAACAAAGTCCTCTAATAAGGGAAAATAAAAAATAAAATGGGCGCGTTTGTGGTGATCATCTGATCTGCTGCAGTTCTTTGTTTCTCCTTGTATCGAGTATGAGTAATTTGAAGCTATGTTAGGTGATATGTCATGGTCAGGACCTTCGAAGGAATCGATCCGAATATTTTGGTGAAGCAACGATGTTGACTTGTAGATGGTAGACTAGATGTTGTAAATGATAAATGGTTAAATCTGAAGATCTTATATCGAGCATTGACTGAATATAACATGTCAATATGGTAAAGATCTACGTAGAGTCTATCAATGGCGACTGCAATTGTGTTTTGCACATTAAATTACGATTATAGCTTCAGTTATATTCTGGAGAGCACTAAACAAGATTTAAAGCCTAGTATTTGTAAACGTATAAAGTAATGCTGATGAAGTTTGATGTTTTTCACAAACTTATTCTTGAATTTAGAATGCATCTTGATTAGAACCAAACAAACCGAACCGTACCAAACTGACTTGCAACAGTTCGGTTCGGTTTTGAATAATGGGTGGTTCGGTTCGGTTATTCAAAATTTAATAAAACCCGAACTGACCGACCGTTTGCACAGCCCTATACTTGACTATGGCATATGTTCAAGATAAAAATTGAACTTTTACGCATAAAACAACACGAGACTTGAAAGTTTTGGGGAAACTGATGAAGAAGCTCTTATGGAGGTCATTTAGCTAAAGTTCCTTCACGAATCATCATATTTGTTGTAGCTTCTTCAAATTATTCCGTATGGATTTGGTATTGGACCAAGGCTAGCCTTTTGTCCAATTTTTATTCTACTTAGAAATGATAACCCTCTATTGAGCGAAACGGCGACGACGGGCGGCAGGACCAGCCAGTCCGAGTGGCAAAATCCTCTGCTGATATACCGGGTGGCCAGTCCGTTCACTCTGACCAGTTTGAGAATTTTCCTGATTTGGATCTGTTTTGGTATTCTATTCGGGTTAAGAGTCCTATGTGGTTTTGTATCCAATTTTGGGCTCTATAAAAGAGGGCTTCCATGTCTAAGATTAGAAGATCAAACTCAAGCAGAGTTGCATATTGTAAAAAAGAGATAGATAGAACTATGGAAAGAAATCTAGGGTTTGAGACCTTTTGGTGACATCGAGAGTGTTTCTTGGGGAATCATTAGAGATCACAAAAAAAATTGTATTTGTGTAGTCTCTGATATAAAGAACACTCAAATTTCTCTCCATGGATGTAGGCAATTGGCAAACCACGTAAATTTCGTGTCTTTATGCTCTTGTTTTATATTCTGCAATATATTGTTTTTCCTCTTTAATTCAAGCACAAATTTCTCAGTGTTTCCACATTGCCCGATGATTGATTGATCTATGAAGAAGGTGAAGATCTAATCGGGTGTTCGATGATACTTCTAAAACAACGCTTTTGCATAGATTTCCGGTTGGTAGCCACGATTCGTATCAGGTTGTGGGTGGTGTGCGCTGACAGAAAGAGCAATCATCATGATGAAATGAAGAGTCCAGTAGTTTATGTAAACACAAAACACGGAAATTCATTATCATTTCTGCAGACATCTAGTAGAATACAAAGATCAAGCAGGAGTTTGCCAGCAAGAATGAGCAGCTTGCTGGAATCTTTATAAAGGCACTATTACCGAAAATTTTATTGAAATTGAGAGGCAAGATGAGATCACAAATTAAGGAAAGGCGTTAAGTTAATTTGTATTTCTCTAAGCTTCCAGAATGCTAGTGCTTGATCTAGGCTCAATGTTCCCTTGAAAATGCTAGCATGCCAGTTGTGAATTCTCCTATGCAAGTTCAGGAGTTCTGAATTGTAGGGTGTTCAAGATCAATATAAAAAGGGTTATTTGCATATGGGCGCCCTAAATCATGGATATTTGCAAAAATACCCTCCAAATCTTAGTATTTGTAAAACTACGCCTCCAATCGTCAACTTTGTGAAATAATACCCTAAAATCAACAAATCATCAACTTGGTGTTAAAAATTTGACTATTTTGTTAATAATTTTTACATTACAATTATAAATTAGCTTATCAAAGTTGATGATTAATTGATTTGTTTTTTGCCAAAATTGATGATTTGAAGGCTAGTTTTGCAAATACTAAGATTTGGAGGGTTGTTTTGCAACTATCCATTATGTAAGGGGTGTATATGCAAATAACCCTATAAAACAAACAGGTGTAAGAAGATTTGTACGCTATAAATAAGGGCTCTGGAGAATTTAGGGCAAGATACAAGCCGATGAAATAGAAAGAATCCTCCTATGAAGGCAACTTTCCTGGTTCCTTCAAAGATCATAATACTCATTAGGGTTTTTTTAATATATACCCCTCAAATCTTTCATATTTGCAAACTTACCCTCCAAATCTTGGTAATTACAAAACTGCCCCCCAATTCTCTCACGTTGTTTTTTTCCTACCCTTTTCATTTACCAATTTTAGTTTTTAAACAGAAAATTGTTCCAAACCTATTGGAAATTTTGACATTGTCTTGTTTAATAACCAATGTTCTTAAGTTGGAGCAGTAGAAAGACCAATATGCTAGTTTTGAGGGGCAAATTTGCAAATATAAAGATTAGAGGGTTAATTTTGCAAATATTGAAGATCTGAGGGGTGTATGTGCAAAAACCACTATTCATTATGGAAGTGAAGAACAGGCTTAAGGGAACTAGCATCTTCAGAGACAGAAACAGTAGATTCAGAACCCTGAGCACTTTTATCCTTCCTACATCTAAGAATATACCCAAAAAGATGCATTTTAACTGATTTGGAACTAGTTATTCAAGTATGCATTATTAGGATCGTCACAAAATAGACACATCATCAAAAATACACTATGATAAAGTCATAATACTGTGGATGGAAAAATGATAAACACCATAAAGAATTGAAGAAGCAAGCAGCTAGTCACACATCATGCTGTAAGAATATCAGCCAAAAATATCAAACCATATGTGAGTTAACAAAGTACAATCAACTATCATTAAATGTATATTCTTGCCTGATTTGTCATGGTGAAGAAGGATATAGGAATAGATATTGAACACACCAGTTTGCATAAACTAGAAAAATTGAAGAAGGTTTCTTTGGCATTATCACTACTTCAAGCACAGAAGAGGAACAGAACCCAATTTCAGTATTAATTTATAAAAATAAATCAAAGGCAAAAAAATTATGGGAGAGCAAATACGACACAGTTGCATAGTAAGCCTTTAAATCACAGATCGACAAGTTAATGTTTGACTATCCTATCTCCGATTCGAAAATGATTATTGAAATTACATTCTACTAACTATATTCAGTGGTTATAAAGACCTTGAACCAGGAAAAATTTCATTATTATCAGAAACTTTGATTGATCAACATAATTGACAAGAAAAGGCATATGTTGATGGAGACCTCGAAACCTCAACCGAAAAGAAAAACTAGTTAAGTGAATAAGAACTCAAAAAATGCTTTGCAAAACAGAAGGAAACTTAATAACAATGTTGAGATATTATAAACTTAATAACAATGTTGAGATATTATAACATATAGCATGTAGCTTCGGTGCTCCATGAAGATTTGTTGGATCACCGGTGGCATATATGTAAATAAATTCCTTAAAAATAGCTCTCACGTCTGTAGATAGATAGATTTGACGGTTAGGAGGTGTTCCACACCCAAACTTGTAATTTACTATAATTTCAATTAGGTAAAAAGGTTATTTTAGGAAATACAATTTAGGAGAGAAACAGAATTTATGATTAGTTAGAATTCTCCAACTAACTAATATTTCGCGTTATAATTTTTACCGCGTTATCATGTAACGCTCCGCACTTTCCATAAGAAAAAAAGCTTCACACTTTCCATTAAAACAAAATTCTATATATATATGAAAATTTTGTCGTATAGCGGCACCTTAGGAATTAGATGTGGGGATTAAAACCGTTTTTGTATTAGTAGAATTCTAGAACTAACAATTTACCTTATCTATCTTATGCTGTGTTTTTCTCTCCTTTCAAACTTCATTGTTTATGTTTATTGCAACCTAAATTCTGTTATATTGTTTTATGTTTACAATTTTAATCCTTTTCACTCATATTCATTGGGAAAAGTTAAAAATAAATTATCGTATTTTTTCCTCTTTTATTTTTTTCTGTCTAATTAACTTTGAAAAGATCAAACTTATCTCATATATCATGCAAATTTTTCAACTAAACTGAGGTCTTAAAGTTTCCTTTTTTCCCCTCTAATAAATCATGTAAATAAAAAACTTGAATATTCAGACAAAATACTGGAGAAGTGAAAAGAATGGCACAGATAGTATGCAACTTTAATTGATTTCTCAAGCTGATACTATTGCCATCTAACTTTATTTTGGTTGATATTTAGGAAATACAATTTAGGAGAGAAACAGAATTTATGATTAGTTAGAATTCTCCAACTAACTAATATTTCACGTTATAATTTTTATCGCGTTATCATGTAACGCTCCGCACTTTCCATAAGAAAAAAGCTTCTCAATCAAATCCTTTGTGAGCTTTCAATTTCCACTTTGTGCATCTGAAATAGAAGCGAGTCTTAGGGCCCACAATGAGCAGGGCAGGCGAGATCCTCCAAAAATTCTTGTGAAGAGAAGCACCATGAAAGGTACCCCCATCTTTTTCTTTTTTAAAAAAATTTAATTATATAGAACACTATGTTATGCTCATTGTTCTTTGCCTCTATAAAGTCATTGGATGAAGTCATTATGTCATGTGATGTAATTTATTGACTAAATTAAAAACTTAATCTCTATGTTTATAAGCTAATTAATCAAGACGAAAGAAGCAACAGAATGGTTGCTTTTAGGATAGAAAGCAATTAGATGAGAATTTTGAAAGATTAAAATACCCTTTCTTATTTTAGGTGATTTTTTATTTTTGTCAAATTAAAAAATAAAAAAAAAGCCAATTTTTGGAGAACCAAAGCAAACCTATATAAAAAAACCAATTTCTGGAGCGCAGAGAGAGAGAGAGAGGCGTCGGCGACGGGGGCGTCAGCGTGAGCTGGAGCGCTGAGAGAGAGAGAGAGAGAGAGAGAGAGAGAGAGAGAGAGAGAGAGATAGTATGCAACTTTAATTGATTTCTCAAGCTGATACTATTGCCATCTAACTTTATTTTGGTTGATATTTCAAAAAGTTTTAATAGAAAAAGCCTCTAAAACTAAGATCATGTATAATTTCAGAAATGTTGCCGTCGTCTTTTGTAGTTGGAGCAACGCCATAAGAGAGCTTGCAAATTTAATGACGTCGAGGACACCGGGTTTGTTACTGAGGCGGAGTAAGGGGAAACTGAACAGTGTTGGAAGAGAAGTCAAAAACAGAGAGGAATTAGTATTAAATAGAAAGGACAAAAATGCCCTTCCCTATTTACAGACCTTTTTTTTAATTTTATAATAATTAAAAATCAGAAAAATAGTATTTTAGGAGTACCAAAGCAATCCTCTAACATATAACTACCTCTTCAATCCTTCACTAGCTCCCATTATAGCCATTTTTTATCCCTCTTTGAAGTCTTTCGAAGACTCTTCCATACTGAGAGGGTGACTTGATCCCGGAGTGCAATAGTGTGGTGTTATTTATAGACATGCAAAACTAGTTGTATAGCTGTATACACTGCCAAACCACTCTAATAAATTAAATATTTGTCCTAAATTAACTACACAGACAAATGTCGCTGAAAATGAAATAAAGTAAAATATCAGTAAAGAAATTAAAGTATCAGGTAAGTTTGGACCCGCAATGTTGAGATATCATAACAATAGTAACCTTATGTGCGTATCCATGCTTCATTAGTTTCCATTATAGCCATCTTATTTTATCTTCTCAAATCTTCTATTGGTATATTGAGGAAGTGACTTGATGCCAGAAAGCCTCGGTGAGCTTTTATTTGTAGAAAAGAAGCAATAATACACTAACTAAATACTCTAATGGAGTCAGAGACAAACGTCACTAAAAGCAAAAGGTGAAATATAGGTAAATATGAGCAAGTATGAAGTAAATATAGACCTGCAACCAGCTGCCAGCAGCAGCAAGGGAAGAGAGCAATCCAGCAAAGAGCAGTGAATCCTTCCCCTGGAAAACACTGGCAACCAGAATCCCCTTCTGCATCGTACTAGTCACATGGGTCCCCATCAGCAACGCCCCCGAGAACTCCAGTACCGCTGCCGTCAGCACTGCCTGCGGTAGCGTCAGAGCTCCAGAACCCACCGAGGTCCCCATTGCATTGGCCACATCATTGGCCCCAATGTTCCAAGCCATGTAGAAACCAGAAAGAAGAGTAGCGTAAGATAAAGCTTTGATCTTGAAGCTCGCTCCTTGGCCTAACGACTTCATGGCTAAGGGGACAGTTAAAGCGGCGAAGACGATGCAGATGCAAATGGCAGAGGCAGTGGTTGAGGATATGTTGAAGGCTTTGGCCATTTCCGACTCATTCTCTGATGATGAGGATGAGGATGATGAAGTGGGTTCATTGTCAGAAGCCTCGGCGAAGGAGGAGAAGGTTGCAGAGGGGGGATGGAATTGGGATGGAAAGCCGGCTTTAGATCGAATTTGGTGGAGATTCAAGTTGTTGGTTGTTGAGTGGAAGAGGAGAGGGGGAGAGTAGTTAATGGGTCGTGGGAGGTGGAGAGAATTGGGTAAGATAAGGACTCCACTGCAGCTACAGAGGTTTCTGGTGATGGAGAAGAGAGGAGTCATGACTTAAGAGAGAAGAGGAGAAAAGAGAATGGGAAGAGAAAATCACAGGCGCTCTGCTGCGGATGAAGAAGCTATGTGGTGGCCATTGGCAGTTGAAAGAGGAGAGCATGTCGATATGTGAAAGGAGGTTGACGAGAGCTTTTTCTTCTTTTTTGGTGGGGGGTCAGGGGCCAGAGAATGAGAATGAGTGGTGCAAGTAATTCACGTCAAGATTCTTTCTTTATCCACAAATTTTTAACCAGATACTAAACCTCTGCCTTTGCTTTCTTGCTGCTCCCCTCTCATCACCCAATTGGCCAGTTTCAACCAATAATAAGTCTACTTGCTGTTTAGCCACGCCCAGGCACACGTGCTCCGAAAAACAATAATGTAAAGAATTTTCATAGTAGAACTGTACACCGAAAGAGAAAAAAAATACAAACAATGTTAATTGCAATTGATGCACCTTCAGTATTAACGTTGTTAATCCAGCAAAGTTCGTCATCATTCTCAAACTCAGCCTTTTATGATGATCAAAAGTTAATTCTGACTGCAAGTCTACTTCCACTAAACTGTAAACAATAGAAACAGAGCTAATTATCTTCAACCAACCCCACATTCAATAACCCACAGAGTGAAACAGAGCACCTTGGAAATCTTATGCCCATAGATACCAACTACCAAAAATAAAAGCTAAAAACCGTCCGAATACAGAACCCTCAATAATAATAATAAATTAATAACAGGATGGTTGTAGGACCACTACCTACATAAAACAGCAACACTCGCAGTAACTAAGTAAAAGATAAATAAACCTAATACATCACTGATCAGACAGAATTATAGCAAGAACTAGAACAGATGATTGAAGGGCTCTACAGCAGCTCTCACCGCAAATAAATGATAAGACTCACTAAGCTCAAAACCAAAACTCAAAGGTAAATATCAATTGATTCCTTTGTGTAATATTAAGTATCATCGCTATCATTTTAAAGCCTTTTTCGGTTTTGTTACTTTGATAATCATCATCTCAAGCCTTTTCCCATCATAACTGAGTCGCTTATGAAGCAAACGTCCGTGAATGATTTAACAAATTTTTACGGTCCAACTTATATCATTGACCAGCCCCCTCTTAGTTACTGTTAAACTTAAATTCCTCGGTAACGGAAACATGGACAGAAAAAACCCACTGTAGAGAGTAATTAGCATGCTCCAAATTCTCCTGGAACACATAACTTATCTATTGAGGCATACTATACTTTACATTACTTTTGACAGGAGACATCAAGACAATAGGCAAAGAAAAGGCATTTCCAAAGTGCCAATCCCTCGAGCTACTACATTCTGGAAAAAAAAAATCACTAAGAATGAGCTAAAAACTAAACTTATAATAGTATTCACAATATGCTCAACAAGTTAATGTCAATAGAAAATCATCCATGTCTTTTTAAAAGGAAGCAATATGGTACTCTAAGTTGAGTTAGCTAACCGAACTTGTACCCACAGGTCGCTTCCAAAGACGCATCCATGCTAGAGTAGGGCTTTGAAACACAATGCAACACTGTAAACAAGAATTGCTCAACCATCAATTCAAATAAGACTCATAAACATAACAATCTCAGATAGCTCTCTAAGAAACATGTAAGATTCATAAACCTCAAGAATGTAACATAGTTCTAAATAAAACATGCGAGGTTTTCACTCAAGCTCAGAATTTAAGTCTACTCATCAGACTGCAGGTAAATTATTTGACATAAATGATATATAAAACTAAAAAAATTATAAATTTCTCCAGTAAGGACTTGCATCGTTCTGATGATAAATAGGCGTTTCTAGAAGATTGTTGTAGCTGCCCCACCCTAAAGATGACTCGGTGTGGCACAATTTTGGGAGATCATAAACACTGCAACTTGCACTTCCATCATATAGTAGTTTTGTCATATGCAAAATGTTTTTCAAACTCATGTATATATAAATACTCCATAGTAAACAAAAGTAATTTTAATCTACCATGTGCAAAAGTTGATTTTGTACACAACAAACAAGCAATGAAGTGTGTTAAATTAAGTATTGGGTTAATGGGCTATTATCTGTTACCTTAACCCTATTTGTATGGCTATATATATCTCTCTTATTATCTCAATAAACAACAATTAGGGTTTTCTCTATTCTCTACATGGTATCAGAGCAAGAAACCCTAGCCGTCACAAATCCCTTCCCAAACCCGCCGCCTCTTCACCACTACTAGCCGTCGCCCCCTCCCCTTTTGTCGCACCACCTGCTACCGCCCCTCGCTCTATAGTCGCAATCCTCCTCTCCTCCTTTGCCGCACCACCGCACCCCCCTACAGCGTGTTGCCTATTCCCTCGACATCTCAGTCTTCGCACTGATGAGAGGACGATTGTATCCCTCGACATTTCAATCATAGAATTGATGAGAGGAAGAGTGTCTATCTCACGTTGTTGAGATATTTCACTTTTATTCTTGTTTCATTCGAGAAACAATAATATAGAAATTGAGCTTTTGTGCAAACAAAAACCAAAGCTCTCTCCCTCAGGTGATCTCGCCTACGCGGCGTGGGGGCATGACTATCTATCACTCTGCCTCTAATCATGTGCCTGATCTGCTCTTAGTTTATGTTTCAAGAACGGATCTCTACTACTAATCTGCCTATTTGACTACTATTTGTCTCCTATTGTTACTCAAAAATAAAAAAATGACTACTACTTCAATGTCGGACATCTCCTCCTCTACTACTCCTTCTATTGTTGCTGGTGAGACCTCTGCGCCCAAGGTAGTCTTGGGGACTACTATTAAATTGAATGATGCAAACTATCTGCTCTGGACACAAGCTTTCTGCATCTTCATTGGCGCTCAGAGCAAACTACCACATCTTCTGGCATCTCCACCATCAACCTCAGATCTCACCTACAATTTATGGCTCTCATCTGATTATTGCGTTATGACTTGGCTTCTCAACAGTATGGAAGCACAGATCAGTAGCAACGTTATGTTTTTAACCACTGCGAAGGAGATGTGGGACAACCTAAAGATTATGTACGGGAACGAGAAGAATGTTTCCCGTGTATTTGAAATTTATGAGTGAATGTTTGCGCTCAAACAGGGAGATAAGTCAATTCCGGAATTCTTTGGTGAATTGAAGGGACTGATAGACGAACTAGAGATGCATCATCCTGCAGTAGCTGATGCAGCGACGCTATTGAGGTATCGCCGAGATCTGGCAGTGTCCAAATTTCTTTCTGGGTTGCACCCTACTTTACAGTCCCAGGTGAGAGGACAGATATTGGGTGGCGATATCATTCCCTCACTGACTGCTATATTCTCCAGAGTCATGCAGGTCTCTACTGGTGTTATTTCTGATACTACTGTACCATCTCCACCTACAATGGATCAGTCTGCCATGTTCTCTGGTCGGAGCAGAGGCCGCGATCGTGATCGTGATCGTGGCCGTGATTCAGGGGGAGGACGTGGCTCCTTTGGTGGGAGGCCAGGTGAATTTGATAAGGGCTCACGTCAGTGTGGTCATTGTGGGAGAACTAATCATATTTCTAAGAAGTGTTGGGAGAAGTTTGGTCGTCCTCAGTGTGCCCAGGTAGCTGATACCGAATCGACTCACTCATCTATTTTTGCTACTACTTCTGGTAATTCATCTATTACTGCTCCTACTGTTCAGATTTCTCAGGCAAATTATGAGAAGTTACGCCAGCTAGAACTCTCTCAGAATATTCATTCTGCTAGTCATGCATCCTCTTCAGGTATGGATGCATACATAGCTTCTTCTCACAAACCCTGGGTACTAGATTCTGGAGCCTCATCTCATATGACAGGTATAAAGGATCACTTTGTATCTTTATATATTTCTGATAAGTTTTCTTCTATCCGCATTACTGATGGTACTCTTTCTCCAGTTCGTGGTGATGAAGCAACTGGGTATCCGCTACCCCACGTGCTGAGATGGACCTCTCCCCCCTCTCTCGACCCAAAGAGAGAGGGCACAGTACCCCAAGACCGCCAAGCGGCCGCTCACAGCACGCACAGCATAAAAAAAGGATGGAAGAGTTTCAGTTTGGGCCAATAACAATTAAAGGATAGACACCCAATTGCTAAAAAAAAAAATTCTTTTAAACAAGTCGAGAAAAAAAAAGGAGATGTATTCCTGAGCGCACAACATAAAAAAGGATGGAAGAGTTTCAGTTTGGGCCAATAACAATTAAAGGATAGACACCCAATTGCTAAAAAAAAAAATTCTTTTGAACAAGTCGAGAAAGTTCATCAAGGAGATGTATTCCTGAGCGCACAACATAAAAAAGGATGGAAGAGTTTCAGTTTGGGCCAATAACAATTAAAGGATAGACACCCAATTGTTTTGTAAACTTCCTCTTTAAAACTAACTGATGTGTTATATGTTCCCAAATTCCCTGTTAGCCTATTATCCATTAGCAAGTTTACAAAACAAAATAACTGTAAAATCGCATTCTTTTCATCTTATTGTGTTTTTCAGGACCAAGCAACTGGGATGAAGATTGGTTTGGGCCATGAGAGAGGAGGTATGTACTATTTGGACGACAGTATGCCAGAGGCTGGTCTTGTTGCATCACAGTCTAACTCTACTTTATTATGGCACTGGCGTCTAGATCATCCTTCACTATAAAAACTTAGATCCGTAGTTTCTGTTCAGTCATCTATTTCCTCTTTAGGTTGTGAGTCTTGTGAACTGGGTAAGCATCATCGTGCTATTTTTCAGAGTCGAGTCGATAAACGTGATAGCTTTGCTTTTGAGTTGGTTCATTCTGATGTATGGGGTCCTTATCGTGTTTTCTCTGTGAAAGCTTTTTGATATTTTATTATCTTTGTTGATGATTTCTCCCGCATGACGTGGTTTTACCTGTTAAAAGAGAGATCAGAGGTCTCGCACGTTATTGAACTCTTTTATAATGAAATAAAAACTCAGTTCTTTACTTCTGTCTGTATTCTTCGTACTGATAATGCTTTGGATTATATGAAAGGTGATGTTTTAAAATTTTGTGCTCTTAATGGCATTATTCATCAGACTTCTTGCTCTCACACTTCACAATAAAATGGAGTTGCTAAGAGGAAACATAGACATATTCTAGATGTTACTAGAACACTGATGATACATATGAATGTTCCAATGTATTTGTGGTCTGATGCTGTTCTCATTGCAAATTATTTGATTAATCGCATGCCTTCCTCTGTCCTTGATGGTTTAATACCATTCAATTGTCTTTATCCTGATAAAAAACAATTCTCTATGATTCCCCGTATCTTTGGTTCTAAATGTTTTGTTCAGGATTTAATTGTCAGTTTGGATAAGTTGTCTTCTAGATCCATCAAATGTGTTTTTGTTGGATACTCTCGTACTCAAAAAGGATATAGGTGTTATCATCCATCTATTAGGAAATATTTTGTGCCTGCTGATGTCATCTTTTTTGAGTCTATCCCCTATTTTTCGTCTGCTTCCACTACTATTAGGTGTCCAGAGGTACCACTACCTTCCTCTGCTCCTACTATTCCATTACCTGCTCTTGTAGCTCCTGCACCGAAGCCTCCACTAACATACTCTCGTCGCCCGAAAGTACATGCCCCTGAATCTGCTTCTGAAGAATCTTCATCTCCAGCTGCTGGTCCATCTCATGTTGAGACCTCTATTCCATCTGACCTGGATATCCCTATTGCTCTTCGAAAAGGTAAACGGTCTTGTCCGAAATATCCTATCTCTCTTTTTGTCTCTTATGACCGTCTCAACCCATCTTTTCGTCAGTTTATTTTGTCCTTGTCCACTATATCTATACCCAGGTCACATGAGAAAGCTATGTTAGTACCAGCTTGGAAACAGGCTATGGATGAGGAAATGAATGCACTACTTTCTAGAGGAACTTGGGACTTGGTTTCTCTTCCTACTGGAACGACTGTGGTTGGTTATAGATAGGTGTATACCCTGAAATATCGTCCCGATGGGTCTGTTGATCGTTACAAAGCTCACCTGGTTACTAAAGGTTATACCCAGACATATGGCGTCGACTATTTTGAAACATTTTCTCCCGTTGCTCGTCTAAACTCCATCAGAATTCTTCTAATTCTTCTCTCTGGCTGTTAATATGGATTGGGTGATGCACCAACTAGATGTGAAGAATGTTTTCCTTTATGGTGATTTGGACGATGAGGTTTATATGGAGCAACCTCCTGGGTATGTTGTTCAAGAGGAGAATATTATCTGCAGGCTGAGAAAGGCCATCTATGGGTTAAAATAGAATCCTCGAGCTTGGTTTAATAAGTTCAGCAAGGTTATTTCTAATGTTGGTTTCCAACGATGTCAGTCTGATCATTCCGTCTTTCTTCGACGCATAACTGGTTTGTTAATTTTAGCCGTATATGTTGATGATATTCTACTGACTGCGAGTGACTCTGTTGCCTTAGCTGAGACTAAGAAGTATCTAAACCGTCATTTTATCACTAATGACATGAGAAAGCCAAAGTATTTTCTTGGGATTGAAGTTGCATATCAAAAACATGACCTATTGTTGTCCCAAAGGAAGTATGTGCTAGATTTACTAGAAGAAGCAGGTCTCTTGGAATGCAAACCTGCAAACACTCCAATGAAAGCAAATGTTGATTTGTGACGTGATGATACCTCTCTATTAGATGATGCTGGACAATATAGGAGACTAATTGGGAAGCTAATATATTTGACAGTTACCAGACCTGATATTATTTTTACAGTAGGTGTACTGAGCAGGTTTATGCACAAACCTAAAAAGGTTCATTAGACAGCAGCTCTGAAAATTTTGGCATATGTCAAGAGTTGTCCTGGCAAGGGATTGCTATATAAGAAGCATGAGCATACTCACATTTCGGCTTTCTCTGATGCTGGCTACGCAGGAGACATGGGAGACCGAAAGGCAACCTCAGATTCTATACTTTTGTTGGAGATAATCTTGTGACTTGGAGAAGCAAGAAATAAGATGTAGTATCACGATCTAATGCAGAGGTCGAATATAGAGCAATGGCTCACACTGCTTGTGAGATGGTGTGGCTACGAAAGTTTATGACTGAGCTTAGTTTTGTTCAGCCTGGACCCATGCCAATGTATTGTGACAACCAGTCTACCATTTATATTGCACAGAATCTTGTGTTTCATGAGAGGACAAAACATATTGAAGTTGACTGCAATTTTGTTAGAGATGCTTGGGAGAAGAAGATAGTATCTCTCATATTCACTCCGTCCTCACAACAACTTGCTGATATTCTTACCAATGCTACTTCTTCAAAGGTGTTCTCTACTATATGTGACAAGCTGGGCATGATAGATATCTATGCTCCAGCTTGAGGAGGAGTGTTAAATTAAGTATTGGGTATTGGGTTAATGGGCTATTACCCGTTACCTTAACCCTATTTGTATGGCTATATATATCTCTCTTATTATCTCAATAAACAACAATTAGGGTTTTCTCTATTCTCTACAAAGTGAAAATAAAGAGGTTACACAACCTATTTATTGATTTTCAATCAGTTGGCTTAGATGTCTGAGGGGGGAAGCAGAAAATGGAGACAAGTGAATACTTGACTTCCAAACGGATTTACATTCTGAAGTTCATCAATGGGTCAAAGGGGCAGCACTAACTCAACCATACAAAAAGGGAAACCACTTCATTGACCTTAACTAGTATTTTGTTTTCTATATATGTTTGCAGAATAAACGCATGACAAATTAACTGCCATCCAAATACAGACATGGTTCGATACTATTTTCAACTGTCATGTTCTACTCGAAACTATAATAAATTTAACCTGCTACAACTCTTGCTATATAACTGTTCTAGATAAAGTATGCAATGTATTCATATCTACTATAAGTCTGTACAAAATATAAAATAGCTCATCTATCTTGTGGAAAGTAAGCTGTTAAATCAAACAAAGAAAACTCTACAAATTCAGAAATGATAGAAATTTCTAGAAAGAACGCAAGTATGGAGATTTTTCCCTTTCCTTCCCTTTTCCCGGATTCGATTCATTATGTCATTCATGATGATTTTGAAACAGAAAAGGCCTAAAACTTTGAAGTAGATAATAAACCACAAAGTACCTCATGAACAAAGAGCAATCATGTTGATGCACACCTTTCAACTTTAAAAGAAAGAAAAAAAATTCCACAAGAAAACTAAATTGAAACTTGCTAAACTTATGTTTCTACTAGAATATTATGAACCCCAAGCTTTTTGAACTGAGATTATGGACGAGAACTGATACTACAATGTAGTTTGAAACTTTCCTTGGCTTTTCTAAGTAATTCACTATGTAACCTTCAAGAAGACAGAAGAAATGCAGATGAACAGTTGATGATTACGTACTTAGCAGTTAGCACTTAACTACTATAATAAGAACAGAATTTACACACAAGGGAAAAGCGCCATCAAACAGATAACAGGTCATGATTATTACAGTTGAATGCATCTGTCCCAGTAAGTATTCCCAAGAGAAAATATTCTACATTTACTCTGTCCCGAAAACAGACGGGAAGCAACGTAAATAAATTTGGGTATCCTTCACGTAAAGTTACTATTGTCTATTAGGCTACGGTGCATGTACAGAAGACTAACAAGAGAGATCAAAAGTCATCGCCATAGGCACTAGATCAGTGAATTAATGACACAAAAAACTGATCTAAAATGTCACAAGTGTGAAGTGTCAAATTAAATATCAGTTGTTCTAGTTATAAATAACTGCCAAATGAAATATCAGGGTAACTTGGTTAGATTACATACCTAATATAGATGATGCAAGCAAAGGAATCAGCAACTGGCAAGGTGCAAACTTGAGGGACAATGCACTGAAAATAGAATATTTGAAAAGAAAAGCAGGTCCATTTATATACAGACTGACAAGTGTTGAAGACAAGAGATTGTCGTCATGACTGCCCTCATGAAGCACCATAAACAGCAACACCTCAAACACACAAGACTAGGACTATGAAAATGGATAGAAGTGAATGCTTCACTTCTGTATATATTCACACTCTGAAATTCATCAAGAGGTTGCACAATCTATGTATTGAGTTTCAATCAGTTGGTTTAGATGTTTGAGGGGGAAGCAGAAAATCGTTAAGAGTGAATGCTTGACTTCCAAACAGATTTACATTCTGAAATTCATCCATGGTCCATTGGGGCAGCTCACTAACTAAACCACACAAAAAGGGAAACCGCTTCATTGACCATAACTAGTATTTTGTTTTCTATATATGTTTGCTGAATAAAAAGCATGACAAAATAACTCGCATCCAAATACAAATTATCTGATGTGGTTCGATACTATTTTCAACTGCCATGTACTACATTAAAGTCCTGTCGAATGTTGGAAGTAAAAATGAATGATTTCAATATTCATCTTACTCAAAAATATATGAAATATTAACCTACTACAACTCTTGCTATATAACTGTTCTAGATAAAGTATACAATGCATTCATATCTACTGTAAGTCTGCACCAAATATAAAATAGCTCATCTATCTTGTCAGAAGTAAGCCGTTAAATCAAACAGAGAAAAGTCTACAAATTCCAGAAATGATAGGAGTTCCTAGAAAGGACTCAAGTATGGATTTTTTTTCCCTTCCTTCCCTTTTCCCGGATTCAATTCATTATGTCATTATTGATTGAATGATTTTGAAATAGAAAAGGCCTAAAACTTTGAAGTAGATGACAAACCACAAATGATCTCAGGACATTATGGACAAAGAGCAGACATGCCCTTGCACACCTTTCAACTTTAAAAGAAAGAAACAAATATCACAGGAAAACTAAATTGAAACTCGCAGAACTTATGTTTGTACTAGAACATTATGAAACCCGAGCTCTTTGAACTGAGATTATGGACAAGAACTGATACAAACTGTCCCTGGTTTTTCTATGTAATTATCACTATGTAACCTTCAAGAAGACAGAAGAAATCTAGATGAACAGTTAAGGATTATGTACTTAGCAGTCGGCACTTAACTACTATAATAAGGACAGAACTTACACACAAGGGAAAAACACCATCAAAAAGATAAAGGGTCATGATTGTTACTATTGAATGCATCTGTCCCAGTAAGTACTCCCAAAAGAAGATATTATGTTTACTCTGTACCGAGAACAGACAGAAAGCAACGTCAATAAATTTGGATAACCTTCATAAAGTTACTATAGTCTATTAGACTATGGTGCATGTACAGAAGATTGATAAGAGAGATCAAAAGTCATTGACATAGGCTCTATATCAGTGAATTAATGACATGAAATATTGATCTAAAATGTCATAAGTGTCAAATTAAATATCAGTTGTTCTTGTTATAAATAACTGCCAAATGAAATATCAGGGTAATTTGGTTCAATTACATACCTAATATAGATGATGCAAGCAAAGGCATCAGCAACTGGCAAGGTGCGAACTTGAGGAACCATGCACTGAAAATATAATATTTGGAAAGAAAAGCAGGTTCATTTATATACAGACTGACGAGTGTTGAAGACAAGAGATTATCGACATGACTGCAAGCATGAAGCACCATAAACAGCAACACCTCAAACACACAAGACTAGGAATGTGAACAACCGTATCTACATCCACCAACTTAAACCCCCTCTCCACCATGATAAAATTGCAAATCGAAGGATGATGTTTCAATCCTCAATATTTGTTCCACTGGGAGAGGTCAAAATTGGTCAGAGTAGATTCTCCATTCGATTGCGTTTATTTGGCGATGAATTCAAAACTATGGAATAAAAGAATGTTTTTGAGTATGACTGCCAACTCGATAGAGCTCAAGATGGTAAACAGCCTGGGGGAGGAGTTCTTTAACAGAAGGATGCTGAGTCACTGCAGTACGACCCACTGCTTCTAGAGTCCCCAACACACGCTCCAAACCATCGCTACTAGGCACGTGCAAAGCTAGCAAACAAAGCAGAACCAGAGCAGGCAGCTGCGTCTTCTCTCCTGATCGAATCAACCTCAGCAGCGACGACACTGCGCCAAACTCTATAATTGCCTTAGAATGCTCCACATGTAAGTAATTTTCAGGGTTAACAAACTTCCCTAAAGCAATGG